GCCCTAACTTTGGAGGCAATAGTTTAGGAGACAGCAATACAGCTTTGTGAAGTCTTTTGATAGTATAGATGTACCCTAACTCTCAATCACCTCCCTCCTGATGGATGGTTGTTTCTAATTAGGAGTGCCTCAAAACACACTATCATGTTTATTTCTACAGGAGAATCCTAAAGTTGAGAAAATTTGGTCAAAGAGTGATTTTTTTGAAAGAGTTGTAGTAATGCATACACCCAGTAGGCAAGAATGTACATTTTACCACCACACCCTCCCAGTATTAGATGTCATGACTTGTTTCAATTTTTGCCAATCCAAGAAAGGAAAATTAGTTTTTGGTTGTGTGGTAGTCAGTTTGAGTATTTTCTTGTTTATTGTCCTTTCTCATTTTCTCTTGATCACTTCTTTTGCTCATTTTTATTACTTTCTGAAAAAATCAAATTATAAACATTGTTTACATTAGAGTTTGTTAACCTTGTATCATATGTATTATAAATATTATCACAACTCTTTCATTTCTTTTGAGGTTTTATGGTGTATCTTGCCAATAAATACTTTAAACTTTAACACAGCCATGTGTATTTGCAGGAGAGGAAAGATTTTTCCTCTACCCTCTTGGTAGAACTTGGAGTCCTACAAACTAAATTGGCAAAGACAGGCTCAGAGGAAGAAAGGTATGAAATTTTCTTTTTAATTTTACATGCATAGGGGTCCACAGAAAAAAGTAAAAACTCAAAGAAGTGGTTAGGCTTGAGAGCTTCTATACTATTTTAATGAAGGATGATAAATTGTGAAATGAGTAGACAAAGGAAGAGGAGTTTGAGCTTCTAGGAGTGGCAAATTGTGGGAAGGTAAATATATGGGGGAAACTAATGGTAGATAAAGGTTATTTAGTAAGACTTTTTTATGCAGACTCATCAGTGCCATATCCATCTCCAATGCTAAGGGTTGTTCTCCTCCTTTGGGTACGAGAGAAGAGAGGAACATCTTCACAAAGGGAAATTTATGCCCTGCTTTTGTTAGATGGGGGAAGGTAGAGTTCTTCCTGCATCTGCTTCTCAGTTGCCTTCTTCAGCTCAAAATAATTTTTATGCCAAAGTGTCATATTTTGGCATGGCTTATTCATCTTTTATTTTATGGCTTCTAAGTTTCCTTCCTTCCTTAAGAAATCTCTTTAAACTAAAGTCACTGTTATTCTTCTAATTTTTCTCCCAATACATTTTTGTTATATTTTTTATATTTCAATTTATAATTCTCATAGAATTTATCTGTCATGTGGTGCAAGGTAGAGGCCTTTTTATCTTCCAGATAGCCAGTTATTGCCTTCTCTTGCTAATTTATGAATGAAAATATTCCTTGCCCACTAAACTGAAATGCCACCTTTATAATATATTAATATTCTATGTATAGTTGAATTTTTCTGGATTCTCTATGTATTTTTTTTTAAAGATTTTATTTATTTATTTGACAGAGAGACACAGTGAGAGAGGGAACACAAGCAGGGGGAGTGGGAGAGGGAGAAGCAGGCTCCCCGCTGAGCAGGGAGCCCGATGCGGGGCTGGATCCCAGGACCCTGGGATCATGACCTGAGCCGAAGGCAACCGCTTAACCGACTGAGCCACCCAGGTGCTCCTGTATTTATCTTTTTTATGCTAATAATTTTTTCACTACAACTCTGATCATAATAGCTTTGTGTTAAGTTTTACTATCTAGTAAGACACATTTCCTACTACCAGCCTCTGCTAATCTTCTTTTTCTAAACGATTCTTAAATATTCATCTTCCATTTGTTAATATTGAAATCATTTACATTTTCCAATGACAGCTTTTTACATATCCTATACTTCAAAAAAAAATTTATTTCTAGGCCTTTTATTGTTCTTGTCAGTCATGTTGCTTGTGATAAGAACCTTTCAAAGTAGGTTCTAGGAGCTTCTCTGCCAAAGCACTTTTTGTTGGCTCTTGTGTGTGAATTGATGACTATTGGTCCCAGAGATGTTTTTGTCTTGTTTTCTGAAGCGTATGGAGTGAACAGGAGGAGGAAAACAGGGAAGAGAGAAGGTTATATTAGCTATGATTCAAATTTTCTATGGGGCAGTTCTCAGCTAATTCAGATTACTGAGGGGTTATCAGAAACTAAGTAAGACTTTTGTGTGTTTTTTTCCTCCGGTTTTTGCAGCTTTTAGTGAGTGGAATACTCCTATCAATGTATTTTACTTAATTTAAACATTTTTATTAGCTATCTGAATGCCCAGTTTGATGGCCAGATTTGTTATATTTAAATATATCCTGTAGTGAATATTTTCTTTAAAATGTTCTTTAGTCTAATTACTTAGGCTCTTTGATTTAGTCAGTGGGTATTTATTGCAGATCTTCTTTGTTAATGAAATGCTGTAGCATTACTTGAATACTGATTGTATTCAAATTCATCTGTATTCACTCTTTGGGGAGGGTATGTAACAGTTTAAAAAGTGCAAATAACCTGATATTCCACTCAATAAACACTAGCCCTAGACAATTTATACAATAAAAGCCTGGCTAGTCCTAAGGGAAAAAATATATCCGTGACTTTAAGGGGACCTTCCGTTGAAGATGAGAAATTAATATCATTGGTCTGACTGATGGCAGGGCTGCTAGTGATGATAACTTTGTCAACATCCTGGTGGAAGAAATTGAAGAATTTATTTAGAGTCCAAAAAGAAGAACTGAGTAAGGAAAACTCAGAGGACAAACATTTAAATAAAACAGTAAAACAAAACAAAAAAGAAGAAGAAGATAGCAGGAGGGGGAAAATGAAGAGGGGGGAATCGGAGGGGGAGACGAACCATGAGAGACGATGGACTCTGAAAAACAAACCAGAGTTCTAGAGGGGGGGGGTGGAGGGTGGGTTAGCCTGGTGATGGGTATTAAAGAGGGCATGTTCTGAATGGAGCACTGGGTGTTATACACAAACAATGAATCATGGAACACTACATCAAAAACTAATGATGTAATGTATGGTGATTAACATAACAATAAAAAATTTTAAAAAATCAAAAACAACAAAACTTATGCCTATACAGTTGTAAAAAAATCATATTTTTTAAAATATAATTATCTTGGGAGCTTTTCAAGGGCAATTTGAGTATTTAACTTTTGCTTGCAGGTTAACTTGAGAATTTAACTCATGTGAAGGATGAAATTTAATGGTGGGAAGTTGCCAAGAATTATGAGAATATAGGAAAATATGTGACATCATTTCTGCCTTCAAAGAACTTGGAGGAGCAATATATTTAATGCGGCCACATTAGAAATGTGGTGACATTAAATAATACAACATATCATGGATGACAAAATGTGTGGTCAAACCATTACAATATATGTTGAATGAATATGTACGAATGAATGGACACAGACTATTCAAACATTATACTTTTATACATTTATTAAACCTGATTCTGTATCTAGAACATAGAATTTCTAACAATCTTATTTTTTTTAAAGATTATTTATTTATTTGTTTATTTGACAGAGAGAGACACAGCGAGAGAGGGAACACAAGCAGGGGGGAGTGGGAGAGGGAGAAGCAGGCTTCCTGCCGGGCAGGGAGCCCGATGCGGGGCTCGATCCCAGGATTCTGGGATCGTGACCTGAGCGGAAGGCAGACGCTTAACGACTGAGCCACCCAGGCGCCCCAACAATATTCTTTTAAAAAACCATTAAAATTGCAAGAGTAAAACAGGTTTTTAAAAATTCAATTGGTTATAAAGCGAAAGATAAAAAGTCTCTTCACATATCCATTCACCAATCTACCAGAGAAAACTTTTTACAGTTTACTCTCCATCTGGAAACTTTGTATGCCATGCACATACACATACTTTAAATGGATACAATATTTAGTCCTTCTACAGTTGACTTTTTGTCCTTATTTCTTTTGAGTACCTACTGATCTACTTCTTTTAGTACCCGTATAATGTCAGTGTATCAGATCCTAAAGTATCATAACTTAATCTTTTCCTTATTGATAGACACAGGTTATTTCCTATTTTCCACTGTTAAAAACAGTACACCAGTTAATAGCTTTACACTCCCTTCTGTCAGATTATCTGTAAAATAAATTCATAGAAATCTAATCTTTCAAATTGCAATCTTGACAGAAGCTCAAGGTGTTCTGTCATGGCTTGGTTTGAAATGATCTGTTGAGGTAAATCAGATGTGAGGATGATCTGGTGGCAACGTCAAAATCAGAGTTTAGTTTCCTTTTTGGAGGGGTTGGGGCTAAAAAATGTCTTTCTTTTCCTTTCTACTAGCTCCCAGATGCACCCCTTCAGAAGCAGTCCTTGGTAAAGGAAAATGACACTATTGTCCTAAGAATCTCACAGGACAACTACGTAATAATCATGTAAAGTAGTCTCTTATCCGAGGGGGGAAAAAAGAGTTGTGGCCTTCTAACACTTATCCTCATGTTTTTTATTTGGGACCAGGAACTAGCTCGACCCCCACTTATTTTCACTTCGTGGTTCGATAAGCGTGATTGGTGCACTTGGCTTTTTGTCCTCCTCAGAGAGGGGAGGGAAAGAGGTTAAATGTCCTGACTGCCGGAATTGAGGAGACCCGGGGAAAGCAGGTTTGTGCACGGTTTGTTTTTATCTCTTCGCTGTAGCTGGTTACGCGGGGGCGATGGAAGGAGTAAAAACGTCAGGGCCCCATTAGTGCTTTTATTCTCTCCAGTCCTTGAAGGAATGAAACTTCAGCGCCGTCTCTGTCCATTTCAGAAACAAGAGGATTCTCTCAAGAGTCACCGGGCAGAGACACCGACTCGCTGCGCCTGCTCTTCCTGTGACCTGTGAAGTAAGAACACAGACAAAAGACACTGAAGCGCAGGCAGCACAACAGACACCGCGCTCCTTCCGAGAAGAGCCCGGCGTACTTCGTCCTTCCCCCACGTCCCGCGTTGCCGCGGGCCGCGCCTCACAGGGGGCGGAACTTAGCGCACCTTCCGGATTGCAGGCGGAAGTGGACGAATTTGAATCTTGTGGGCCGTTGGATGGGGCTGCTCGCGGTCGGCTTTGCGGCTCCGCGGAAGAAGGGAAAAGTGACACGACCATTCTGGAACTTCTGCCCAACGCGCCTTGGTGAGTGAATGGAGATTGGGAAGAAACTGAGTATTCCAGGGAGGGGATTCGGACCGTCGGAGGGGACAGGGGTCGAGAGGCGGGACAGTGTAGCGGAGGCCTCGGAGTGCCTTTGGGGGTGTCGGGTGGTGGGGTTGGGCTTGAAGACTGGGAAGTCGGGGCGCTCGGGAGCGTCTCCCGGGCCGGCGCACACGAGCCAACTCTGAGTATTTAGGATTCCGAGGCCACCCGCCCCCGAGATTAAGCCTTGTTTAATCTGACGTTCTGGTAAACACAGTTTAGTATTTCCGCCAGTTGGACTCGAATGCTGAAGCTGTAACAGTAATTAGATCTAATTGCGAAAGCGTTACTACAGGTAAAAAGAATCTTCCTTTATTAAAGATGGAAGGTTGGGGGCAGGTTTAGAATGAGGAGATACTGTACGTGGCTCGGGGTTCCTCCTAAGAGTGATACTCAGAGTCGTCTTTATTACTCTGGACCACAGGGAAATGACAGTCTTTGAAATGCCCGGTGGGGATTTAAACTGAAATCTGAGTATCCTTTGTATTTAAAACCCGGATATTTTTCTTTCACGATTGACATTTTTCTTGTACCGCAAAAATCCGAGACTCTTGCTTGTTTAAACTGACTATAGTAACAGCGGTAATTCATAAAGGTCTTAGTTTGCTAACAATAGGGATAAGGTTTAGCTAGTTCCACAGATCTGCCTTTTCGCCTCCTTCATTCATTGGCCAAGTGGGTTATTGTGGAATCATTATGGAAACACTCTACTAATGTTTCCAGAATTGGGTTTTCTTTGTTTTGTTTTTTTGTTGTTTGCTTTATTAATTTTAGTGATGAACTACCTCAAATAGCAAACGCTGTTTAACCCCGTAGCAAAGTCTGCCTTCTTCTGGAATAGTTTAAATGTGTACCCTACATCTAAAATATAAATGAGTTTAAATGTATAGAAATTTTCTATCTTGCCTTCTTGAACACTGTCAGACTAATATTGTGTTGTTTTATAGGAACCGGTATTTTATGTTCCTTTTAAGATTTTAACACCAGGGTATCATACCATAAAAATGCATAAATATCTTTTAAAAAATAGACATTTCTTCATCTATTGCTGCTCCTACTCTCCCATCCCTGCTAGTGAACTTTTGTTTCATTATTAGCCAGGAAAAATAGATTTAAATATTCAGTATTTGTGATTGTTGAACTTTAAACATTTGTGTAAGATTGCAGCAAAGACATTAGCTGTACTTTCCTAAGAATTGCAGACAGCTGTTCTGCTCATTTTATGTGCGCTACCAGCAAATAGTAATTAAAAAAAATTAGTCTCTACATTTTAATAGGTTTCTTGTCCTTACCTCGACTTTTTTTCATTTATTTTTGCTCTATCTACCTAAATCATCAGTGAATTTCAAATTTTCTTCTGTACACATTACCTTGAAGGGTTTGTTAAGTGCTGATTCCTACACTTCAAAATTAAAGATTTATTTACTTGAGAGAGAGGGAGAGAGAAAGTCCCAAGCAGACTCCATGCCCAGTGCAGAGCCCGTGGTGCTCCATCTCCCAAACCATGAGATCACCACCTGAGCAGAAACCGAGTCTGCAGCCCAACCAACTGCTCTACCCAGGAGCACCCTGACGGAGTTTTAAGGGCACTGACTTGATCTTTCCTAGAGAGGCATTATAATATACTGTTAAGGGGCAATTATTAGTAGCTGGAGTCAGATTGCCTCGGTTCAAATTTCATCTCCACCAGTTGGTAGTTGTATGACCCAAGCAAGCTGCTTTACCTTTCTGTGCTTCAAATCCCTGACCTGTGTTAATGGGACAATAACAATACCTATCTTGAAGGATTATTGTGAGAGTCAAATGACTCAACACATATAAAAATCTTAGTGTGTGGCACATAGTAAATGATACCTATATCTCCGATTATATTGAGTTACTGAGCATTGTACAAACCACATTACATACATTATCTCAATCTTCACATATAACACTGCAATATTTACTATTTTCATATAAGTAAACGGAGGCTAAGAGGGTTCAGTTCTCACACAACTACCAAAATGTTTGAACCAGGTTCAAAAACTAGATTTAATTAGAAAGTTCGTGCTTTTTATGTCATTATTATTATTTTAAATAATGCTTCCTGCCTCTCTCTGCAGTCTATCCTTTCAATTATTGCCTCTTAAAAATCTCTGATGACTCCTCTTTGTCTACCACATATAATTCAGATTTCTCAACTTTTTCATTTTTTTACAAAGCCCTTGTCAATCTGGTTCCAGCCTCTCTTTGCAAGCATCAGCTTCATAATATTCTACCACTCTTTTTCCAACCTGTGATGTTCTATCTGTACTAGTACCGTTGTCCAAATCTATTCTCTCATTTTTATATGTACTTAGCCATCAACTTTTTTAGGTCCCTTTAAGATTTTACCGAGTGGGTTTCCAATACTTTCCAAGACTTCCCCAGGCGGGCATTCTTCTTCCTCGGTGCAATTTAGTTGTAAACGTAGCACTAGACTGAGAGCTCTTGTCCTCTTTGTCTTTATATCTGCAGTTCTTGGTACAGAACAGTGAGTGTCCTTGTACTCGGAAACTGTATATGTCCAACCAGTGCTTGTTATCTTAACAGTTTAACACATTGTGTCTTGTTAAATGCTGAGGAAGTTTTTTTTTTTTTTAACTTTTTTTCTGAAGTGATAGAATGTAATTCTGGATAGCTTAGTAGAGATATTAGTGATACCATATGGTTTGTAAATTTCACAAATACGGAAAAATATGTATAGAAATTGTAGGTTCAGAAGACATTTCAAGTGGTAAAAAATTACGAGTAATATTTACCAACATTCACAGAACTCCAGATGCTTTATACATATTTTCTCACTTAATCTCACTTTTCTCACTTTTATTATTATCCCCATGTTAAGATGAAGAAACTAGGTACCAAAAGATTTAGTAACTTAAAAAAAAAAGCTTTTTTTCCACCATTTTCTCCTGGTGGAATTTTTTTATTACAAGAATAATATATGTTTAGTGTAATTAGATAATAATAGGGAAGTACATACGTAAGTATTCATTTCTATGTTAATTCAATTCTAAATTAAGAAAATATTGGGGAGTTAAAAAACAGCAAAATTTGCCTTTCCTTTTGAGTTTGAATAGCTGTTACCTGATCTCTTTGCCCATAACCTTTTCTTTAAAAAGCTGCCCAAAAATACAGGGACATCACTCTAAAGACCATTGGGTAGGGTTTGGTCTAGAAGGAGCTTATGATCCTAATATGCTCCCATTCCACACACCTTCTCCAGCCAAAGAAGTACCAGATATATGAATGAATAAGAGCTGAATGTCTAGACCATTCACATTGTTTCTTCTTGAATTTTGGAATTGGGATACCAAAAACTACTGGAGCCAAGCCAGAAGGGTCTTTATATTGCTGAGATCACAGTGGAATCATGAAGAAATAAGAAAGTGTGGCATAGGGAGCCAATAACAGTGGGGTAGGGCAACCTGTTTTCCAGAGACTAGTTATAACAGTCAGTAAAGCTTATAACTTTATTGCTTTTCCTTTTGTTGTTAAGACTTTTTTTTTAGAGCAATTTTAGTTTCATAGCAAAAATGAGGGGAGAATAATAGTGATTTCCCCCACACATGCCTAGCCTCTCCCATTATCTACATACCCCACTAGAGTGGTACATTTGTTGAAATTGTTGAACCTACATTGACACATGATAAGCACTCAAAGTTCATAGTTGAAATTACAGTTCACTTTTGATTTTGTACATTGTTTGGGTCTGGACAAATAGATAATGACAAGTGTCCATCATTATGATATCATACAGAGTATTTTCACTGTTGCAAAGATCCTCTACACTCCACCTTTCCCAACCACTGATCTTTTTACTGTCTTCAGAGTTGTGCCTTTTCCAGAATATCATATAATTGGAATCATACGGTTTGTAGCCTTTTCAGATTGCCTTCTTTCACTTTGTACTATGCATTTAAGTTTTCTCCATGTCTTTACATGGCTTGATAGCTCATTTCTTCTGTGTCTGGATGATCCATAGTTTGTCCAGATCATCCATAGTTTATCCATTCACCTACTGAAGGACATCTTAGTTGCTTCCAAGGTTTGGCAATTGTGCATAAAGGTGCTGTGAATGTGTGAACATTTTGGTGTGGACATAAGTTTTGACTTCCTTTGGGTAAATACCAAGGAGCTTGATTGCATAACTGAGGTAAATCCCACTTGGTTGTGGTGTATAATTTTTTAAATAAGTTGTTAGACTTGATTTGCTAATACTTTGTTGAGGTTTTTTGCATCTATGAGAAATAATGGTCTGAAATTCTTTTGCAATGTCTTTGACATTGGTATGAGGGTAATGATGACAGAATAAGCTAGGAAGTATTCCTTCTGCTTCTGTCTTCTGAAAGAGGTTGTAGAGAACTGGTATAATTTCTTCCTTAAATGTTTGGTAGGATTTGCCAGTGAACCCATCTGGGCCTGGTGCTTTCTGTTTTGGAAGGTTATTGATTACTGATTCAGTTTCTCTGATACAGTCCTATTCAATGTTTATTTTTCTTTGTGTGAGTTTTGGCAAATTGTGCCTTTTAAGGAATTGGCCCATTTCATCTAGATTATCAAATTTGTGTGCATAGAGTTCATGATATTCCTTTATTATGTATATTTTTTAAAGATTTTATTTATTTGTCAGAGAGAGAGAGTGCGAGCACAAGCAGAGGGAGTGGCCGGCAGAGGAAGAAGCAGGCTCCCTGCCAAGCAGGGAGTCCGATGTGGGACTCCATCCCAGGACCCTGGGATTGTGACCTGAGCCGAAGGTAGACGCTTATCCAACTGAGCCACCCAGCCATCCCTCCTTTATTATATTTTTAATGTCCATAGGATCTGTAATGATATCCCTTCTTTAATTTCTGGTATTAGTAATTTGTGTCCTCTCTGATTTTTTTCTTAGCCTGTCTAGAGTCTTACTGACTTTATTG